CATAGGGGAACCTACAGGGGGTCCCATAGGGGGTCCCAAACCCCACGAGGGGGTCCTATAAGGGGCTCCTATATGGGATTTATAGGGGATCCTATAGGGGGTCCCAAGCCCCACAGGGGGTCCGATAAGGGGTCCCGGGCCCCATAAGGAGTCTGGACCTATAGAAGATCACAGGCCCTATAGGGGATCCTGTAGGGGATTCTATAGGGGATTTTATAGGGGATCCTACAGAGGGGATCCCATGGGGGTCCCGGGCCCCTATAGGGGGTCGCAGGCCCTACAGGGGATCCCATAGAGGATTTTATAGGGGATTTTATATGGGATCCTATAGGGGATTTTATAGGGATTTTATAGTGGATCCTATAGGGGATCCTATAGGGAATTTTATAGGGATTTTATATGGGATCCTGTAGGGGATCCCATAAGGGATTTTATAGGGATTTTATAGGGGATCCTATAGGGGATTTTATACGGGATTCTATAGGGGATTTTATAGAGATTTTATAGGGATTTTATAGTGGATCATATAGGGGATCCCATAGGGGATCCCACAGGGAATTTTATAGGGATTTTATATGGGATCCTATAGGGAATTTTATATGGGATTTTATAGGGGATCCTATAGGGGATCCCATAGGGACTTTATAGGGATTTTATACGGGATCCTATAGGGGATTTCATAGGAGATTTTATAGGGATTTTATATGGGATCCTATAGGGGCTCCCACGGGGGTCCCCAATCCCGCTGTGTTCGGGGGGGAGGTCGCGGGGGTCGCGGGGCTCGCAGCCCCCAGGGCGGGCGGGCGGTCCCTCCCCCGCCCCCCGAGCGCTGCCCTCTGTGTCGGGGTCATGTCGCGACAGCCGGGCGATACCGGAGGTCACGTGGTGCTCACTCACCGCTCCGCGACCGCCGCTTCCCCCCGCGTCCCGGCGGCCCCGCTGGCCCCGCCTCCTCTCCCCCCATTGGCCGTCCGCCAGCGGCTCCGCCCACCGTGCGCGGAGGCCACGCCTCTTTGCCCAAACATGGCGCCTCATTGGCCAGGCCTCTTCCGCCCTCGCCTCGCTATTGGCTCAAACAAATGTCATCCATTCCTGAGGCCCCGCCCCCTCCCGCCTCGCATGAGGAGGCGGGGCTCTGTGTCGTCACAGCCGAGCCTCCCGCTGCCATTGGCGGCTCCGCGGGCGCTGACGGGGCGGGGGCGGAGCCAAGGGGAGGGGCGGGGTCGGGTGATCTCACGTGATTCCTGCGGGCCCCGCCCTTTCCCGGCTGTGTGTTCATCCCGCCCGGCAGGGGACGCGCTGTGCCCGGCCTGGCGGCGCTCTCGGGCCCACCAGGGGCTCTCTATGGCCCGCGCCCCCCCCGGGGGTGCCCCCCAGCGCCTCGGGCCGTAGTGGGGGGCTCTGCGGCCGCCTCCCCCCACTCAGGCAGCGTTCTGCGCTCCCCCCACGCGGGGGAAGGAACTGGGGCCTCTCTGGCCTTTAGGAGTGTGCAGGCCTCTCCCGTCCCAGAGCCCCTCACCGCATATGGGAGGACATTCCACGGGGTGATCCACCCTATAGGAGACCCTGGGACGGGAGTGTGGGGGTGCAGAGCTCCCAAAACGCCCCTCACTCACGGGAACCCCCCAGAACCCCTTCCCCTTTTGCGGGGCGCTCCTGGGACTACAACTCCCATCGTGCATCGCGCCACTCCACCCGCGCGCAGGCGCAGCTTCTCCTTCTCCCTCTGCTGCCATGGCAACTGCGGGGGCCCTCTTCGTTGTGCGCAAGCGCACCAGCTCCGAGCTGCGGCGGGAGGGCGGCGCGCGGCCATTGCGAGGCGGTGATTGGCTCAGACGCGCCGGCTCCTCCCACCAGCAGCAGGTGCGGGGCGCTGATTGGTGCGCAGGGGCCGGCCGCGCCCCTCCCGGCACCGCCCCCCCGCAGTCGGGGCGCGGCCGCCGCCCCGCACGGACGGGCTCGCTCCGCGCTCCGCCATGGCCGATTCCGCCGCGCAGTCCTCGCTCGTCTCCTCCAGCTCCTCTTCCACCTCCGTGACCTCGTCCTCCTCCTCCTCCTCATCCTCCACGCGGGCCCTGGTCGGCGGTTCCATGTCGTGCGCCGGTAAGGGCCGGGCGGGGCCTGTGGGGCCTGAGGGGGGTGAGGGAGGTGAGGCCTCGGCGGGGGCGTGAGGGGAAGGAGCCTTTGGGCGTTGGGCGTGAGGTGAAAACGGCCTGGGAGGAGCAGAAACAGGGAGGGAAAGCCCTTAAGGGGGCGGTTATTTGGGGCAGGAGGCTTTTGGGGGGCAGATCTGGGGGAAAGCGGCGTTTGGGGGCTTGGTGTGAGGTGAAAAGTCTTTTAGAAGGGGTTTAGAAATGAGGGGGGGAAGAACGTGAGGGGGAAATGAGGGAGAAAAGGCCTTGGGGGCGCAGATTTTGGGGAGCAGAGACCTGAGGGGGGGATCGGAGGGTGATGGGGCCTTTTGGGGGTGGGTGTGAGGTTAAGAGGCTTGGGGGACAAAAACGAGGGTTTAAAGAAGTTTTGGGGTAAAACGGAGGGGAAGAGGCTTTGGGGGAGCACATCTGGGGGAAATGATTGGGAACGGTGTCACCGGCATCGGGAATGGTGTCACCGGTGTCATTGGCATTGGAAACGGTGTCACCGGTGTCACCGACATTGGGAATGGTGTCACTGGTGTCACTGGTGTCACTGGCACTGGGAGTGGTGTCACCGGTGTCACCGGCATTGGAAACAGTGTCACCGGTGTCACCACAATGGGGAAAGGTGTCACCAGTGTCACTGCCATGGGGAATGGTGTCAGCGGTGTCACCAGCATTGGGAATGGCATCACCGGTGTCACTGCCGTGGGGAACGGCGTCGCTGGTGTTGGCAATGGCATCGGGAGTGGCCTCGGTGGCATCGGGAGTGGCGCGAGCGGTGTCACCGCTGTCCCCGCCATCAAGAGTGACGTCACTGCCACTGGCAATGGCCTCGCTGGCGCTGGCAGTGTCCCCAGCGGTGTCCCCGGCGTAGGGAGTGGCGTCTCCGCTGTGCCCGGAGGTGGCACCGGTGTCACCGCTGTCCCCACCGACGCCGACAGCTCCGGTGACTCTGACGACACCGTCATCGAGGAGGCGCCGGGCGAGGCCCCCCCTGCTGTCCCCAAGGATGTCCCCAGGGGTGTCCCCGCTGTCCCCAGGGCTGTCCCCGTCCCGCCCGGGTCCCCCCCCGCCGCCTCCCGGGACTGGGAGCAGGAGCACCAG